TGGGATTTTCTTGTGAAGAATTTTATTAACTGACGCTCACTAGAGATATTCAGTGCGAGTAGGCCTTCCTGTACGCTTTCCAAATACACTTTTCGTTGGTCTGGTTGAAATGAGTAAATCACTTTGACGTCATCTGTAAAGCGAAATGAGCGTCAGTGCCCGAAACGAATGCATATGTTGTTAATGACAGGTGTCTGCACATCCACACATAGGACAATATTGTCGATAAATTCATTTACAGTTACAGTAGAGCAACGAGTTGAGAATGACTTGAAATTCAGCGAATGCGTTCCAGTCAACTCGATGGAGGCTGCGATTTGGTAGTAACATACTTGATGCTTTAGGTGACCCAACAGTCATCTTATGAAGTACAGTGTTGTGATCACAGCCAAGTAGTGGATTATCAACGGATACATGTTCGGAAGGAATCTCCATCGATAATACAAGATATAGGATGGTGGCACTCCTAGTGAGCTCCCTAACATGCTGGGTTCAGCCAGTAAAGTGGATACAGAGGATTATTTCTTCATCCACGGAGCGTAAATCTGACGTGGGTGAGTTGAGCAAATGCGGCTGGTGATATGTCCAACTGTATAGTTAGTATCCACATTAAAAGAGGTGCAGAAAAATTGACTAAACATTTCACTAGTATCTGCAGCGTCAGTTATTATGCAGGTATCTGTTTCAACCAGTCAGATCGTGTCTTGATTCCCTTTGGTATTCCTGCACTTTAAAGTACTGCTTAGTTCAAGGTTTTTATACTGGCTGCTGAGGGTTTGTTTTTTGTCAGCGATCTGTTTGACGTGACATGCCAGCTGGAGAGCTGTGGTCAAAAATGAGCCAAACTAAAGTATTCCAGATGGCTACAAGTTAGTAAAAGTAGAAATGAGCGAATTGTGTCTGAGGCACAAACCTGCGTGATGCCCCAACACTGCGGACAAATGATCGAACATGTAAGAGGGAATTATGCTTGTGTTGTGCACTGCATGAATTTGTAAAAATTTTTTGCTGACATAAATGTAGACGATTTGAAATGGTAGCATCACTTTTATGTATCGCCAATTCATAGGTTCGACATTCAGATTAAATGTTGGGGCACGCAGTTTGTGCATGCTTCCGGTGTGGCGTTGCGATACAACCATAGGGCATCCTTTTGGTTCAAAAAAGTCGAGACGGCAACTACAATGGTCCTAGTGGTGAGAAACCTGAATGTGTGTCAAAAAGTGGTGTGTCATTAAACAATGCGGAATGTAAACGCATTGCCATGAAGGCTGATCACGCGCCTGCGGAATCTTACGTCTAAGGTTCGTGCGGCAGGCAATCAAGTTTACGTTCAGTATGTGTGCAACATGCTTCCAGTCGTGTCCATCTTCATTAGTATTATGTATTATATTCTTCACCTCCGCTGAAGGCCGCGTACGAGTGACTTTTTGGGACAATCGGAGCAGAGCAAGCTGTTGCACCAATTGCACGGGTCAGCTAAACTTGGCGTGCCTATGGAGTTAACTTCACTGCTAAGTTAGTCACCGTACCAGTGCAGTCGGTGGCAAGCAGATAAGGTGATCTCATGTCGCGGAACAGAGTCCATGCGTATGGCTCATACGTGTACACACGTGCATCGTGTCACATGAAGCATGCGATGTAGCTTCAAGTGTAACCGACGCAAGCATTTGAGTATAGGATATAAGGAATTGAGAAAAGGCATAGAACACATACACGTGCGAACCTTTAATTAAACACTTAAGTTAAGATTTGGAATACGCTGCCGTCCAAGACGCAAGAATGTAAATCACCTGAAATATTTCGTAAAAAGATCTACAGCCTGTTAATTGTTGGAAAGGCTACAGAGCTGCAGAAACAAAATGTCACAGAAGAGGTATCATATAAAGACGGTCTAGCAGATCCCTAAGATAGCATATCAGCCGCCAACATTTTACTTAATATCTGCCTTATTTAATATGCTGGCGCCTCACAACTGGTGGCTTCAAGAAAATATTCTTTTCTGCAGCGCAACAATACTGGGCAATGCCACACTGAGCGCCGCAAGACGAAACCTATAGATTTAAACGAAGTTAACAAATGCTGACGATTGATTTTTTGTCGGGGAGCATCTTAATAGTTATATATCTAAACAGGAGTCAGGGCACAGGCTTGTTTTTGGCGGATCTCGACAGGCTTTTACAACACAACTGATACGAATAAAACGAGTCAAAACATTAGACAATAGTAAAGTACAAAGGTCTAGGTCAACAAAAGGATAAGAGGTGGCTCGTCCACAAACTGTCAAGGACATACCAGTGGCATATTCCTCAACAGGGGCTACTGTGACAGGGGTCAAGAGAACGAATGGTTTCTGTGCACATATTTATTTATCTACTGAAGAACCGTTATCCGCATTTCAAACTAATTTCCTGCTTGGAGGTATCAGCCCAAAACGACGGTGTGCTTCATGATATCAGTCAACATCAATTCCTATACACCTCGGATGCCAGTGAAGCAAGGACCCTGAAGCGCTCTTCTGGTGACCATTTAAACAGAAACTGTTTCTAACCACCCACTGACAAAATTCGATCCGATCAATCAAATGTCGAGATATAAGCTGTTTTTCTACTTGTCACTCCATACTTTATCTTGGTTCTGTGGCTTGAAATGTTTATCCTTTCCCGAGAGTAACAGCCCAGAAGTAGATAGCATTTCTCAGTGCGCCGGGTTAACAAATGTTGTATTCTTCGGTGCTGTATGCTATCGGGCGCGTCCCCAGGTTGCGGATCGAGGAATGCCTTTCTTGTGGAGGTAACTGCGAATAACTCTCGTTTGCTTTGCAGGCGAGATGAATAAGCCGTCGCGGACAATCAGCGGCAGCGTCTCATAGTTCTGGGCTGGTCACCTGATTCTCCACTAAATACCACAAGTGCACGTACAGCGCAGTGTCAAAGCTAATGTGACCGGCTATAGGGTCACTGACCACTCACCCCTGTAACTGAGGGTGAGTATCTAACGGAGGGCGGATGAGCAACTTCGCTGGCCACCGTCTTCTCTGTGGACTGTTACTGAACACAAAGAAGGCGAATGAGCTACATGGCTGTCAGCGGTCTACGTGAATCACCTCGCTGCCTTGGGGGTCAGGTCTTTAGACCAAAGGCTCGGAGTGGGGCCCTTTAAGTCAAACCTCCTCCTCGGCCTGGGCAACCAAGAATTTCAATGTTCACACAAAACATGGAACTTTGCTTCCGGTCATATTACTCCTTCTCTCCTTTGAGTTGTGGCACTCTGCCAAATCTTTATTGGGCAAGCGTTAAATACATAAAATAATTAATTCGAACGCATGCAATTGTTGGGTGAATCTGAAAACTCCCTTGCATACGGATAATTCGAACAATCATCCATTACAGCGATCCCGCCACAAATTTGATCGAGAAATCCGTCGGCCTTTCTTGGCTGTAGCTAAGCGTCATTTTCTTATTCATTATCATTACCGCAATTACCTTTCTAGCTCCTCACATACTATATTCTACATTAACGCATTGTTGGCCACGAATGGGTAGATCTTCCGAGGTGACGGAGCTAAGATTCCAAGATAATAAATGAACCCATGCAAGGCGTATTGCTATAGAGTCACTGGCGAGTAATAAAAATGTTTGACGCAAAAAACGATTGAAGGTACGTAACCGATGGCTTGAGTGTCCATATATATACACATAAAAATATCCAGAAAGACTAGTAAAATAGGTGACCGCTAACCTGCTTTAAAGCCACACATGAACATGGGAGTACGTGTGAAACCATTATAGGGATTACTCTGCATGGAAGTAGGTCACCTGGAGACGAGTGCACGGTTGGACGTAGTACTTTACGGGAACAGCTGTATTTGTCCACATTTATTATTATTATTATTATTATTATTATTATTATTAATCTATCTATTTGAAAGATACCGCCGATCAATTAGCTCTGTAGAATAGTTTAGGAACTGCGCTGGAAAAAAAGTCAAAAATATCATCCGTCCCATGTGATCTCGTTGTACATAAGGAACAGACCAATCATTTGGACTGTGCCTCGCAACGTAGAAGAATATACCCTTGATTTATTTATTTATATCTTATCGATGAACAGGGTTATCAGTTTTAGTTTGGGGAAAATTGTGCCTACCTTTTGAAATGTTGTAAGACAAAAATGGGAGATATCGAAAATATATGGCTATTCCGAACATTTCGTTACACTAGCGTTCACTATAGCGACATTTCATTGTACTTTATCGCAGTGAATTGAAGGTGACAGAGTAGGAGGAAGGTAGTTAGCCGGCATTCACAGGGCCGATTAACAGCGGACAGCGGATTAATAGCCGAACAGCTTGACCGTACACAGCGATTCCGATTATCATCGAGAAGAACTAGGTGTTAAAAATACAGCGAAACTGTTTCCGTTGCCCAAGCAACAGAAACCTTAGTAAGGCTAGAGATATGCGTGGGATATTTGTTTCTGAGTCGGTACTTGGTGACCAGTTTCTTCTCTCAAATTCGCACGTTAGAGAAAAAAGTGCCTGGGAATCGAACTCAGGATGTTACGGGTTTTTGAGTCGCTACACTTCACGTACGCCTAGATCGTACACCGCATGGAAACAAAAACGATGGGCGAGTAGAAGTAGAAACTAAACAGGCTGCGATGTTCATGAAACGGAAGCAATTTAATTAGCCAATCAAAACAAAGCGTTCCCAATCATATAATAGCAGCTTAGCGGAATAGCTCTCAGCTGCAAATGACTGCATGCTCAGATGAAAATACAGCAGCCAGAGTAGTAAATCAAATTTCTAGTGCCGAAGCGCTAACATAACAGCTACTCGTGTACCCGGCAAGCTCTAATACCGTACAAACAACAAGCGTGTGTTTTAACTGACGGTTCGATAATAATCGTGGTGCTACAATGACACGCCTAGCAGCATAAAAGATACTTGTGCGAACAGTGGAAAATGTGAACTGAGACAAAACAACTCGAAACTCACATCAGGAACTCCGATGGTTCTAAAATAGTTCGTCTGTATTTACCCTGTCTAGACTGCATAGTTTCATTGGCAGATATTTCAGGAAGAACAGTTGGAAATGCTGTGGAACTCAGAGGTGAATGGTCTTTCAAGACACGGCGCCTCGATCGCCCAGCCACTCTGCGTATAACTGTTTGCACCGGAGCAGGTGGAAGGGCTGGAGGTTCACCAATAAAGGAACTGCTATTGCTATTTTGGCGAGTTTTTGGCTTAGCTACCACAGTAGCGGGGACCTGAAGTGAAAATGTCAAATGGATGAATACTTGAGGTGTCGGAAACCGAATAATAAACAAATTACACGGAAATGTGCGAGTAGTGGGTGATTGGAAGCGGTTCTGGTTAGGAGTGCATACAACAGCGATGAAGGCCTATTGACGTAGCTTCGACCGGCCCCGATTCAATCGGTAGACATGGTGTAGCACCAAATTGCAACAAAACTTAAGGGAATGTTAATCGAGGAGAAATGAACAAAGAAATGAGAACAAACGAAATTCCGATAGTAAAGGATAAAAATGGAATTATTCGAGATGTTGCAAGAGAGAAGAAGGACGGTGTCCAAGTTCCGGTGGAGGAAGAAATTGGAAATTATAAATTTGCAGAATGACGTCACAAGCAAGGGCTAGACATACAGCAGCACGGGTTCCGGGACCACAGCATGAAGACCGGAATAAAGTGCCCCAATCGACGTAAGTCCGGTCACGGACATCTTTAACTAAAGTAGTTCGCAAACAGAGCAGGTGGCAACCGGAAGAACGCAAACAGCAAGTCAGCATCACCCTCAACAGTACAAGATAAATGCTTAGTAATTACGGTTCCTTCTGATACAGTCATGATTGTCTAAACAGTTAGTTATAAGAAAACACGGGACCAGGGTTAGGGTTAACTCCACAGAAAACGCAGAATCGGATGCACTCAGAGGTAGACCGGTTATAGGGTGATAGCAAACACGCCACTAGTGCGAGACTGAAAAAGGCGCGACGGTGTACAAGATTGTTGCGAACACATTGGTGTCACTCGACACCAGCATGACCTGGCAGGCAACGACGAGTAGAGATTTGGAAGCGTCTCAGATGCCCAGACTGAAAGGATTGCGCCACAAACGTGGAGAACGACACTAGCTGTGGTTCAGCATACAATGCGTCTCCTACTGGTGCCCTCATCATTATTACATACGTAAGACAAGAGCGGAAAAAGCAACAGCCGTTGTGTCGCAATACGAGCCAACTATGTAATAGAGAAAAATAAAACATAGATAAGAATGTGCTTTGTTTTATACTCTGCATCAGCATGGAGATCGTGGTTGGGTGTAAGATTGGACGCGACCCTGAACCCGGTGTCGGTTAACAATGTGAGGAAGCTTTTGTATGCAAGCGCGCTCTAATTGGTGGTCCTGATCACACAACAACCTAGAGTTCTCCTATCATCTCTAGCAAGACAGACTGCACAGATATCACTCGCCGTGAATGTTCAAATGAAAGCGGTAAAAAAGAAGGCGTCAGCAGTACGCCGGTAGGCAGTTCCGACGCTTCGCCGCCGTGCAATCACCACCGGTCGCACGTGAGTTGGGGATACTGCAAGGGTCGCCCAGGTCCTAGGCAGGCTCGAATCCGCGCCCTCAGATTACAAGGCAGACTTGTGATCCATTCAGGCTACAGGCCAGTAGAGATCTAATCAAAAGATTGACCAATTCCATGAAATAGTAGCATTCACAGAATTTAGTTTATTCCTTATCTCTGACGTGTCCAAGTATTGTGAAAGTTTAAAAACGCATTTGAATTTCTGCTTTGGCATCTGTTGTCATTTGGAAAGTCCGTGTGGAGAGTCATTTTGTAGTACCCGTTGTGTGGATGGATTGTGACGCGCAATCTCCATGTTGACCGCGATTCCCATTGAAGTGAATCTTGGTCTTTCGATCACGAGGACCGTAGCTGATGCAAGCAGAAACTGGGTGTTACCCACCCGAAAACACTGCACTACCATGACGCATTTCGTGTACTTCAAAATGACCCACAACATCGTTCATTAAACCGTTGTGCCAAGTGTTGCCCGTCGTGTCCCGGTGGCTTAGGGATAGCGGTCACAATTAACATCCCAATGGTCCCGGGTTCGATGCCTGCTAACTCTATTTGATGAGATGTAATAGCATCGAAACGCGTCATAGTAGTGCAGTAGTTTCGGGTAGGCAACACCCAATTTCTATTTGCGGAGAGGTTATCCTTCCCTCACCTGAAGCCATTGCGCCAACTTAAGGAAAAAGCGTTAGGACAAAATGACGGCACTTCAATGAGCATTTGCACTATTCATATCAAGGAGGAGCTACACCGACTTATAGTTGGTAATACTAGCTGTCGTAAAAATTAGAGGATGATGAAACAGCTTAACGGAATTACTCGATGTGCGCTCTATTTTGACGTGGATGTATGAAGACTGAACTGCGGCGCCAACATAATCCAAGAGTCTTCCATTGCCCAAGTGTTGGGATTTCTAAACTCATTGGCTCCTGTTCATAGTGTAACGTTGAATAATTTACTTCAGTAACTCTAAGTACTGGTAAAGCAAGTGGTCAGGACAGACTATCTCCTATCATGCGCGAATAGTGTTGCTTTTTACGGCAACGCCTCTTGCGTCAGTATACGAAAGGTGTATAAAGCAACACAAAATATCGGGGAGTGTCAACATTACACCAGTTTTAAAAAGAAATGCAGCAAATACAGACCTATCGCTTGCATTTCTTAAATGATACTGTCCCGAATGCGCTCCAATGATCAGCTTCACTTCGCCCATCGCAGTTCGAAGTCCAACCTAGATGGAGTGAAATGCCTTGTACATTCTGTACTGTCATCACTTGGTAATAAAAATAAATCAAGTCAAATGTGTTACCTTGCTTTGGCAACGTATTCGACCGGGCAAACCGCGAATTAATGCTGAAAGACCAACCCATTCAAGGGATACATCCCTCCACCGTCCATTTGCTGTGTTTTACTGGACGCAATCATATTACCAGACGCAGTGGCAGATGCTCCTTCCCACTAATCACCTACTCCGGTATCCTTCATGGAACATTACTGTTGCTTTACGTCGGCTTAATACCAGCCCCATAGAAGCGACCGTACTAAAGTATACGAATGGCATCGTCCTGGATATCAATCATGGAACCACCGACTGCACATTCAGGTGGCAAGATTTTCTGAACGATATCAATGTTTTGGTCTATAGCTCTTAACGCTTCAAAGTGTCATGACGTCCTTTTACCGCTATACATCGGAGTCAAGTACGAGCAACCTTAGTATGCAGTGCCCAAAGCTAGATATTGATGATGATGGCTTACACTATTCTACATAAGTGAGTTACATAGATGTGACCCTGAGCTACGATTTATCTTAGACTGTTCATGTAAATGAAACATTTACAAAAGTCAAAAGTTTGTCGTTCTATGCCTCTCAGTTAAGAGCCTCCTCTGTCCCTCGGGATTGGATCTTACGTTTTATAGGTGTCTGTGCACTTCCTCACTGGATGTACTGCTCAACTGTGATATTCCCCGATCTTCTGGGTAAACACAATCGGTTAACCCTCAAGTGATTAAGGCATTTTTCCCCATGCAACCGCGTGCCGATGCTTATGTTCGTAAACCCAATTCTGTCTACACATATTGGTCCTTGTAAAACATTGGCGTCAAACATACAAGTCATCCCCTTCATAACGCCCTACCTGAACGTTTGTCAACATCGTCTACTAGGGGCTGTATACCGCTAGTCGGTAAATAATAAAATTTATTTATTCATATTATTTGTTTTAGATGTAAAAGGTTACATATGCCCGCACACAATCCTGCCGTTCGTCAATCATCTCTTATCCATCGCGTTTTAAGGAATAAGGAGCTATCCTTATTCCGACGCCCAACTCAGAAAACCAGGAGACTAAGTTAGTCTGGCCTCTAACAACTGAGCAATATCGTATGAGTGACTCTGAAAGTGTAAGAAGCACCAACCAAACCAGCTCAGTGGATCACTGAGACAAGCAAGCCATCGCGCCACGTTAAAATTCAGTTTCGTCGCAGCGGCGGAATAAATATTGCATAATCAAGAGTGGAGGGCTGTCTTTCGCATCACTTGAAGTGGCAGGCAAAGTAGTATTGAAGACTGCTTGAAGAGATTAATGATAATAATTGTTTTCGATTAGTTCATCATCAGGTCTTTACAATAATAGACGGTTGGCTTGCCGAATAACCTCCTCGTGGTGCCAGATGGGTGCTCCGGGATTATTTCGTTCCAGCAAATGGTTCGGCGGAAGTGTTCCAGGACGTGGTGGATTTGCGCATGGCAACCGTTCTCCGTATAAAAGCTACATATGTCCGTTTAATAACACTGTGATGTGGCATGTGTGAATCGCCACTAATTAAAGTTACTGCCCCTTGCCTCACTCTGAGCGGCATTGTAATCCAAAAGTGCGTTGCGCCCGTGGTCCTATGTGATCCTAAAGGCGTATGAACCACTTGTTTGGTCATCGGCTCCCAACGGGTTGTGATACCCTCATATCGCCCTGCTGCCTTGTAGGTTAGATCCTGCATCAAAGACTCGGGGTGGGGCCCCCTAAGACAACCCTGTACTTCGGCGTGGGCAATCGGGTAGTATCACGCATGCTGACGAACCATGGATGGATTATACTACTGCTTTCACTTTTGCAATGTCTAGCGGCTTCACTGTCTCTGCAGCTCAAAATCCGCTCACAGATCGCCCCACGTCCCGTTCCTCAACTGCACCTATGTCTTCCCTGGTCACCGTCAACAACCGATCACTAGTCCCATCAGACAGTTCTGAGCCAAACGTTTGATGTTCATTGCCCGGTGGTCACAATATCCTCACACTAAACCGAAGCCCAAGCTTTCCTTCGTCCTGGTTCTCCATTCGGCCTTGCAGCGTTCAATGTGCGCACTCTGATGCAGTTCGGACGAAAAGGCATGTCTGGCCCACACACTTGAGACACTCACAGGTTGAAAGACGCCAGTACCGTCATCAGAATGACATATCTGGCAAACCCTGACGTTAAACACCACTTGCGCCTTTCCGGAGACCCAGAGGTCGCCGCTTCTGGCCAAGCTGGTGTCGGGGTTGTACTGAGTGACAGGGCTAAGGTCGCCTTGTTTGACTGGATCCCATTCAACGTTCAGCTATGAGCAGTCAGACTACAAGGTTCAAGTAAGTAAGTAAGTAAGCGTCGAGATGTTATGCGTGCATTGTTTGTCATCTCCGCCTACGCTCTTACAGAATGCAGCCCGAATGCAGTCAAGGCTTGCTCTTACCAACAGCTACACGAACTACTGCGTTCCGCTAAAAACGTCTGACATTGTCATTCTTGCCGGAGATTATAACGCAAGAGTTGGCCGCCTGCCACCAAGTGAGCACCATCTTGGGGGTAATTTTGGCCTCGGTAGCAGCCGATCAGATAATAGAGATAGGCTACTGACTGTATGTTCTGATCATCGCTTGTTTCTTTCGAGTACAAGTTTTCGTCATTCGAAAAGACAGACTGCTACCTTGAATATTCATTGCGAGCCATTATTACGGTTCTTGATCCTTTAGCTGGCTTGCTTGTGATAATGTTTTCTCTTTGTTGGAATTCACTCACAGTATCAATGGGTACCTTTGTCAACAGTCGGTGATGAATTTTAGGGCACCTCAGATAAGTTGATGGTCTAATACAAGTTCTCGTTCCGCGATATGCCTCCTGGTCTCATTTAGCTTAGTTGTAGCCGACTCGACAACGTTAAGAGTGTGGCGTTGCAACCTACTTTTCGAGGGTCGGATATGATGTCTTCGACGCTATCATCCACCTAATAAGTTCTAGCATTTTTGCCAGCCATCTTGCAATGCTATGGTATGGCGAACTCCTCATCTCTAGTATTAGTCTTAACGGTATGTCCGGTTTGTGTATCTTAGGGTGGCAATAAAGACGTAAAATCATAGAGCCTGTGGGTCGAGGTGTTTCACACCTTTCTTTTGTTATGAAACCGTTACTTATTAGCAACTTTAACGAATTGGTCATTTGAATTTCTGTGTAGTCCGTTTTGTCTTTGTTGGCGGACATCTATCTGGGAATACCTGAGCGTAGCCCACTAAAAGTTGTCATCTCAGACTTGCAATTCTACCAGCGTTATGTGGACGACATATTTCGTATGTGTGACCAAACGACCAACTTGCAGCATGTCGTCGAATGTTTCAATGAAGCGCATCCAAACACAGCATTTACAATTGAAGAAAGTAACAATCAGACGAATTTCCTTGATGAAAAACGAAATAGAAGAGATGACGGATCAATCCAGATAATTGTGTACAGAAAATCATACTGGACCGGTCAATACACGAATTTTCACAGGTTTATCCCACTCAGCCGCAAAAGCACGCTAGTACACACCTTAACGAACCGCACATATAAGAACTATAGGGAAGACACTATTGAGGACGAATTGCGGCGGACCAAACAAGTGCTTCTCGAAAATGGATATCCTGAACGCTTCATTGACACCGCGGAGTCGGCATGCATAGGACTGATGAATCCAGACTTATGCATCCAAAAGAAGATGGTTCAATCGTTACAATTGCTTTGGCCAGCCACTTATGAAAGAGGGGTTCACACCCAACACTCATATGGCATCCGTGATCTAGTCACCTGACCAATATCAAGAAACCACTTTGAATCGTTTAATCAATGGTTCTGCTGCACAGTACTCTAGCCTTTTCCAATTTGGCGCTATTATTATAACGACCTGATGATGAACTAATCGGAAACAATTGTTTGTCGAAAGTTTTCCGCTCACTTTTCTCTTTGGGACTCACAGAAATGTGCATCTTACTTGAATTGTAATGACAGTAAAGCATGTTTGAAGAAAAACAGCATGATTTCGTATAGGCTTAAAAATGAGTTTCCAGGTTATCCTTTTCCAATATACCTAACAGAGAAAGCGACGATAGTGTATCTATGACAACCGAAATTACTACATCAAGGTATGTGACCTGGTTGGGTGAAAACGAACATTGTCACTTACAAATTCACGGATAATGAAGTTATGATTTTTAATTTTGATTTACCTATCCCTCGACACACGAATGTTTCCGAAGTACCAGTGCCGATTCTTTTACGCACAACTGCTCAAACACTGAATGAACATTACTCATGCTTATCCGCATCGGTGGGCTAGGTAAAGCCCCATGTTTACGAAGCACTTCTGTGTGCTTCTATGGTCGAAGCGAGGCATACTACCCGTCTAGATGTATCTTTTGGCCCGAAATGTGGAGGACCGGAATTGTTCCCGCTCGCCGCTGAACAACTTCAGCGTACAGTCTGCAAACCTGGATGTATCAGATTTTTGTACATTTGAAAAAAATGACAAAACCAATTATGTGATGGTCCCTTACACCGATTTCTGCGCATGGTGTCCTGGAACTAAAATTCTGCGTTAGGTTCGATCTATAGATTACGCTGTTTTATCCAGCGAAACCAACATATCATTCTGTATAAGAGTCGGAAGTCAACTCTGTTCGAACACGTCTATGGGCAGTTTCGACATAAATCAGAGCTCCCGCAAATAAAGTATGCGCTCCCACAAAGCGACACTGGTTGTTTTGCGAAGAACCCAGTGAATAAGTACCACCAACCGAGGGAAAAGAGGAAAATCTAGTATATGTAACAAAGAAAAATGGACCAACTGATATGACGCTTAAGTTTTCCATCGGCTAGATGTCCGTTGAATGGCGGAACGCAAGCTAATGTTAGAGATTAATGCTCCGAACCCTGAGTTTGTTTGTAAATCCGATTGAAACTAGCTATCAGCTCCCATTAAATAGGTACCGTGAACACGATGGCCCGTGGTCTAAAGGACCACAAGCCTGGCTTGTAATCCGGTCGCGGATTCGAGCCTGCGTAGGGGACCGGGTGAACTTTGTAATATCCTTAGCCGAAGCGAGAAGGTTGGTGTTTGAGCGGCGGCGGTGTCGGTACTGCGTACCGGCCTACTGTTGATGCCTTTTTTGAACACGGAAATGTAGAAAAATCTAACATTCCGGTTTTTGCTTATAACTCGTGCAACATCAATAAAGCAAAATCCACTGAACCACATGCCGTGTCGGAAACACGTACAGACGAAGATACCAACACATGTATCACCCGTATAAGCAGATGATCGTATCTATATAAGAGGACCAGTGCAAATTATGGACAGTTTCTCGTACGTTGAGAAGCATGCATAATACATGCAATATTGCTCATAGGTGAATCACAGATACACAACGGCTGAGGTGAGTCTAAGCAAAACAAAATTCTAAATGTCGGTACAAACCCACCTCTTCCTCTCCTTGGATGGAAATCGAGGATTCTGAAACCGATGACTTCTGAGGTATTACATTGGCATCAGGATGGACCCGTTTTGCTTGCCGCTTTCGACGCACCTTACTGAGGATGGGACAAAAAACGGTTGGTACACATGATATATATATATATATATATATATATATATATATTTATGTAAATGTAAATATATGTATATATAGGGGAAATGGTATATGGCGGAGAAACCGAAGATTGTCACGTCCAGCAGAATAATCGCTAGAGGTGAGCAAAAAGTAGCAATAGGAAATAGTGAGCATCCACAAATTGTCAACTTACCGGTTACAGTTTCGTATATTATCGAACATCATCGTCTGTGGTTTCCAGGTAAAAATGGAGGTGGATTGATGTGTAGTTATTTGTTTGCTGTTTGTGTGGGTCATCTGTGTTATGTGATATGGTGTCGAATGCACAGTGCAACGTCGACACAAGTTTAAAACATGGCTAATGTATGGGCTAACAACTTATGAGAGGGCATTCCATGTGTGGCAAACACGCCGCGAGAAACAGTTTCTTCGACACTCCAACCGGCTGTATTGTTCTGCCAGTTAGAGATGGTGTCCTCTCAGTCTGCTGTTGTCATATCTTCAACATTTGCTGGCAAGCGTGATCAAGATTGTTAGAATTTGGTAAACCCCGATTAGGCCATCACGCAAACGCCGATAATGTCCGCTGAAATGCCTCGCACTGAGGCGCTGTTCGCATGACAATTGGCGCAACCTTTTAACATTTTAGTCGCCCGACGTTGTTGAATCTCCAAGGCAGTGGGATCCCGCCTTAGCCGTGGATGTCATGCTTGAATTTTATGTTCAACATCAGAGAGTACGTAAGCGGGAAGTAGTTGGCAGAAAATAGATGATTAGAAGCGTCCGGAAGCTCTCCGTAGAAGCCTCACGATTTAGATCCCCTTCTTCGATGCTTTTATGGACTGATATGAACAGCCGAGATCTTCCTGGACCAGCCCACTGAGATCCATTTTGAGAGAACAGTGTTGTAGATCATGCTCCTCCAGTTTATAAGTGTGAACCCATTGTGTCGTAAATGGAGCCACATCAAATAGAAGGCAATTTTGGATCGACCCCCCACAGATCCGGTCGTCGGTTTGAAATCGGATACGGTCTTCTGAAGCTCTGGTCACTTGCCAAACTTGATGTCATCGGCAGAGTAAACAGTTTAACGTGATTTAGCTCACTAGATCGTTACTGAGGACTAAAAATAGACGACGTCCACCCAGTACCCAACCTTGTGGCTCACCGGATTCGAGGTGAACTGGGTCTGACATGGATTTACGCACTCTCGCTTCCAGACGCCTGTGCGAGAGAAAACTGCAGATCCACCTGAGGAGAGGGTCCACAATGCCACATGCTTGAAGTTTGGCGAGAAGGATACCATGGTCCGAAGAGTCAAATGCCTTAGAGAAGTTAAGTTACGTCACATAAACTCCTGCACCAGCATCCATCGTTTCAGTCTAGCTATCTCATGCTAACAAAATTTAGTGGTACATGACTGATCCTGACGGAAGCCGCGCGGCTACTGAGCAATGTGACATGAGCACATCAGGCTCCGTAACTTTTGAAAAAACTGGCAGTAGAGTCACTGGTCGATAACACTGAGCAACAAAAAAGTTATTCTCTAAAACAGAAATACCAATGTCCTAACCTTATAGGATACACTCCAATGTCGTAAAAATGTATTCGGATAGAATGTTATGAATGATTATTTTCAGTAATGTCAAGGCTACGTCGCATGAATCATATCTAAATGTACTGAATCACAACATATACAGAATGCATCTATGTGGCAAATAGGTTTAAAACCACTGAAATACGCTCCTAACTACTGACTGCAGCTTGGCACTGATGACTTCGTCGAGATCGTCGCTTGTATGATATAGCGTCCTCACCCTGCAGAAACCAACAAAAATCACCCATCATAGAAGGCGTGTACTCGAAACTATAGCACTGCTCCACAACTGTAATGTCTTGGTGAAAGCGTCCACCATGCTCATCGTTAACAGATCCCAAGTTCCCATGGGAAAATTCGAGGTGATTATGCAACAAGTGCATTTCGAGTGACATTTGAGCACCAACAGCTTTTTTGTGACGTCTTTGTAGTACGCTGCCTTTGTTCTGCCCATAAATCCTGTACACACTGCCTTGAATGATCTATACGCTCCCATCTCAAATGAAGTCACCTGATATCCGAAAGCACTGTCTGTCATTATTCGGCGAATATCAGGCCCAATAAGTATCCTTTCTTTGAGTTTCGCATCATAATCGCATCGTGATCTTCGGAAACACTTGTTTCAGGTACTGGAACGCAAAACCATCTCGCTTGAAGTTCTTGACGAAGTTCTTAATCAAACCAAGCTTGGTGTGCAACGGTGGTAGTTAGATATGATCACGTTGCGCAAGAGGTGTATGCTTTACACTCGTTTTTCATGCAGCCTACTCCGTCCTCTCTGGCCGCTTTTCGTTGGTGTAGTGCGGTTGAGTTGCTCAACTGCCCCATAAGCGCAAGAAACATCAATGTTTAGTGAAGCCTCCTTGCATACCCATTAGGAGTCCAATGACTTTGAAGTCAGCAAAGGTATGCTAACAGTACTATGGTATTTCAGTGCATAGTATCTGTCGCATACTTATGTAAGTCTCTTTCATATCAGTGACATGCAACAGTGGCACTGTTGGGTACACTTTTCCATTGTAAAGCAGTAATGCTCTTGGACGAGTCGATAAACAAACGCCATTCATCACAGATATGCCTCACGCCAAGCTCCTTCATCAGCCCTTCCACGTCGGAACAGTAACTAAAGGTTTCTCTCGTGTCACAGAAACCGGCCAATTTGACACTTCGCTTTCTGTATGCAGTAACCTTAGCGTTTGCAGCAAGGAAGTGCCACTGCTGCAGCCGAGATACCAGCAAGTTGGCCTTGTCTTGAGGCAAGCCCAGATCACTCATTTAGCTCCGATCGTTTAATAAGATGTGGGTTGACAACATCACCTTCAAAGTTTTCACAGATGTCCGAATCAGGCGAAGTTGGCGTTGCCAAATCACTACTCATCATTAACCACATGTTCACTAGAGGCACTGGAATGGGTAAGGTGCAATCAAGAGGAACAGGTCGAATAGCTAATGGAAGACCGGGGTAATGAAATTTTAAAACAGTTAGTCCCCTTCAGTAGTTTGAACAACGAAATGAGAAGACGAATACCGGCAGATGCTAGCATTTCGTATTATCTCGTCAGTACCAATACAATAACTGGGAAATTCTTTTATATGTCTTACAGGGCACAGGCAAACCAATCAAATTTATTGTTGTGATCATTGTTATCAGATTACGTCCACGGCAACCGCAGGTTGACAATTAGTTGTTGGCAATTAGTTGTCAACCTGCGGTTGCCGTGGACGTAATCTGATAACAATGATCACAACAATAAATTTGATTGGTTTGCCTGTGCCCTGTAAGACACATAAAAGAATTTCCCAGTTATTGTATTGGTACTGACGAGATAATACGAAATGCTAGCATCTGCCAGTAATGAATTTTGTCCATGTTTCGTTGGTGATTCCAATGACATTGGTTAGACAGAAGTAGCAGTCTGTCGTGTGATCGTTCGGCTCCCTCCACACCATGGAGAGTGTAAAGGGCATCTTGCCTTTGCCCTTGAGCCACTGAGTTAGATGAAGATTGCACGACCTACAAACAATATGCGGTGCTTACTTCTTATCCTGGTCTCCCAGTTTCATCCCGAAATATGCGTGGTAGGAAGACTTCAGTAGTGAAGAAATGGGTCTGCACAGCGACTTTGTTCAGACGCAACCAAATGACTACGGTCATTGACAGAGGCGTCTTTAAGCCGTGATCAAGAATATCAATGAAGGAAACACAGCTCTCAATCGACGTTCAGTATCAGTTGGCTACCATGGCCAGAAGGACATCTTTTCTACCATTACAGGGAGCCAGTGGACCAATCACGAGCATACAATACATGGAACGCAATGTTTAGCCGAAACGAAAAGTGGAAATTAAAAAACCCGACGCGATAGATACAATTGATTTGCATATTCGTAATCACCTCTCTTGGTACTATTAGAAACATCCTATTTCATTTATGTTATAAAAATGATGTTGTACAGTGCATTCAGCAGGGTCGGAACGACTACCCTAATTGAGAATTGGAGTTATTATCCCGTGTTTCCACAGTGCAGGAACGCGCATCCCGTCAAGGCAGTGTTGGGACAAACGTGCCAAAGGGTCATCTAAAACATTAACCACCACTACAAGCGTCTCTGGGCGGAAATCATCAATCCTGGGACAGGCGTATGGATATGTAATGCATTTCTGCAGACCTATCCGCGTTAGCTTAGCTGACCTGAGCACGGTCCCTATGCACACACGTACTCGGGTAAGCCGCTGAGTCCTCAAAAAGACAACGATGCGCACACAATCGGGGGACTAGACGCGAGAGGCTTAGATGCATACGCAACAACCGGCTAAAGCCGCACACGATCACATGACCACGCGATTCCAAACTAGCGCACAAGATAGAGAAGAGAAGACGAAGCGGACCTCTGAGAGTTCGCTTACGACTCATAGTTGGCACAATGGTTCATTCCGTGCGTGAAATGAATCACCACGTAAAGCGCCTGGTCTACCAAAGAACATTGTTCGCTTTTGCCGAGCTGCGCCTCAACTCGGTCGGGCTGGATCTTCCTACCTTGTGGGCAGGAACTGAACGCTGCGCCTTGCAGCCCAAGCACTGGAGTTTGTGGAGCATTTCTGCGGGGTTAATTGATATTCCCGCAACAGGATAGCAGCTATTTGACCACGGTATCTGTCGTAAAACTTATAGGTGTCCTGGTGAAAGCACTACAGATTCCAAAGGTCCAGGAGACCAAGGGATACAACGAAATGTTGGTGCAGATGGTTTCTGCAGAATATTTGACGCTTCTTTGGAAGCCTTAGTTAAACCATCCGCTGTTTGAAAAGGGGGAAAATCAACTTTTCACCTTGCGAAGGCTGCCCACCTGATTGTATAGAACCTTATGATTTGAAGTAAATCGCT